CTGTTAAAGTAATACTAAAGGTTATAAGAAAGTGGTCAGAGAGGACAGGGTTGTGAGGAAATACTGTTATTTCTTCACATTCTATGCCGTATGTCAGTGCAAGATCCAAAGTATGAAGATGAGCATGTGTGAGACTATTCACATTTTGAACAAAGCCAATAGTGTCTAAGATGGCATTAAAGGCTGCTCTTAAGCTATCACCTTCAATGTCAGCATGGATGTTAAAATCTCCCACTATGATGACCCTGTCAGTATTTAATACCAAATCAGAAAGGAACCCCAAAAAAATCATCTAAAAATTCAGAGTAAGGAGCTGGTTGACGATACAAAGTTACAAAAAGAAGAGCAAACTTACACACCGAAGCAACGATAATTTTAGTGACCTCCGATCGGCGTAACCGGGTGTCATAACCGCCAGCGTGAATAGCAATCTTACTGTATTTAACCTTATCCTTAGCCAGCAGTTTCAGGTAGGATTTGATGTTGTCCGTTCTGGCCCTCGGCAAACATTTGACTATGGTCCCTGGTGTCTCTAATGCCACATTTCTGACTATGGAGTTCCAAATCACACCAGTTGTGTCTCATCTAACAAGCGAAAACATGTTTACATTCAATAAACATAGAGCAGTGCTGGTGAGAGGGATTCAGACAGACAATAGAGCAAAAAATAAAGCTTTTTGTGGGTGATTTGAGGTGCAGGTATTGGGAGTATCCGGGGAACATCAGCCAGAGCTGTAGGCTTAATCTCAATATGCACCCTAAGCACTACCCCTTAACCATAGACTATCACTCCCAATGATGTCAAAGCGCCTGGATTGTACGTGGGTGGTATAACTAAGAGTGAGACGGCCTCTGATGGAAAAGGAAAGCCGAGTTTACTATGGCAAAACAGTGACTCCAGTGACTGATGTCTACAGGAAGACCTGAAGGGCCCATGTTTCTATTACAAAATCCCACCGGACCAGCGGCGATGTTCAGTATAATAAAAGCAGGTGAAATTTCACCCTCAGGTTCGCAACAGAAGGAGAAAAGGCAAGTGTCTGGCCAAAAAATTAGATGTAGATGTAGGAGTTGATGTGGGGTTCCAATGGGACTGGTTTAAGTTTTCCAAGTATTAAGCTGTAGAAAGTTACACCTTAATCTCCTCCAGGCAGGATTCGATGGCTGGTGGTAGGGTTGCAGAGGTGGTATCATCATCATACCAATGGAGAGAATTTCCATGATTGCTAACAATGTGACCCAGGGGGATCATATAGATTGTAGAAATGGTCAGACCATGGATCGACCCCTAAGGGACCCCCCCAAAAGGTGATATTGTGAGGTCTAGATTTAGCCTTCAACAAGATCACATACTTGGCTCTACCGGTATGCCAGGATAGCTCCAGAAAAGTCAAGTGTATGTTTGGAGTTGGTTGACGAGAATGTGATGGTCAACAGTTTCAAATGCCACAGAACAATCTGGAAGGAAAAGCTGGGAGGGAGATCCCTGGTCAGCAGCCATGAGGATATAATTAGTGACCCTGACTAGAGCTGTCTCTCTGCTGTGAGCTGTGCAAAAAAAAACAGATTGTAATTTGTTAAGGGGTTCTTTTGACTGTGAGTGATCATGCAGCTGAGTTGCCACAACCATTTCCAGAAGCTTAGTGAGGAATAGGTGGTAATAGATGGGATGGTACTTTACCAGGACTTCAGGACTTGATATAGGTTTTTTTTTTTAAAATGTGGGTTTGATAAGTTTTGTTGTAAGTGCTGAGGGTACATGACAACAGTTTCACAACAGTTATTGATAATGGCCATGATGAGACGATTTGGAGCAGTTGAGTTTTATTTAAGGAGACTTGTGGCAATGGGGTCCAGTTCCCTTGTGGACGAACCCATCTGACATCTTAAGTTCTCAAACTCACCCTGGGGGTTTATGGAAACTGGTGTGATGTCTGGACTGGCAGAAGTAGTTACCAATGAGGTAGAATGGGATGGGATGAGATAAATGGATTGTATTGATTGACTGATTTTGTTTTTTTTTGAGAAATGTGACAAATTCATTACTCTGTTCCTACGTATGTTTCACACATGAAAACATTTGTGGTTTGAGAAGATGATTAATGGTTAAAAATATCCATCCATCCATTTTCTGTCTCGCTTATACCTACTGGGGTCACAAGGGGTGCTGGTGCCTATCTCCAGCCGTCTACGGGCAAGAGGCAGGGTCCACCCTGGACAGGTCACCAGTCCATGGCAGGGCAACACAGAGACAAACAGGACAAACAACCATTTACACACAGACTCACACCTAAGGAGAATTTAGAGAAGCCAATTAACCTAACAGTCATGTGTTTGAACTGTGGTAGGAAGCCGGAGTACCCTGAGAGAACTCATGCATGCTTAGGGAGAACACGCAAACTCCATGCAGAAAGACCCTGGTCTGGGAATCGATCTTCTTGCTGCAAGGTGGCAGTGCTACCCTCCGAGCAGCCAATGGTTAAAAATAATCTTTTGGAATTACCGAGGACAGCTTTTGATAGTGTTGGTTTAGTAATGTGATCTTGCTATTGTGAGAGATTTGGAGCATGCTTTTGGGTGTTGTAAGCAGTTTTATGAACTATGAGAACAGAAGCTAGAAACCTTGGCTCCAGAGCACACTTTAGATTCCTGAATTGTACTTGTTGTTTTGGTATTAATTGGTGTTCCTTGCACTTGAAATGAAACAGTCTTATGGTCATATAAACCCAAGTTATTTATTCAGAGATTGTGAATATTGGCACTGTTAGAGATAACTAAGTCATCATGCCCCCTAATGTGCGTGGGAGCATTAACATTCTTTTTAAACTCAAGGGGGGGGCTGGTGTTCGGTGCCCGGCCCTACTTCGGGGTGGCCGGCTGCCGGCGGGGCCCGCGGACTCGTCCCCGCGGCTCCCCGGGGCGCCGGCATGGCGGTGGCTGGGGGGCTTCTTCGTGGCTGTCTCTCCTCCTGCCTTGGTGGGGTCTGGTTTCCGGGGCTGGCCCCGCCTTGGTGCCTTCGCTTCTGGGGTCCCCTTGGGCGCCTGGGGCTTTGGGTCTCCCGGCGCTGGACTCGGTGCTCTGGGGGGTGTGCCTCTCCGGCTCTCCACAACCACTATTGAGCATTTATTTTTTTTTCTATGGTTAAAACTTTACATGCACAAGTTCACCCTCACAAACA